ATTAATGACAGAATATTCATTTTTGGGTGAACTATCCCTTTAAGACCTCCTTTCACAGCAAGTAGCAAATCACGTTTTGTTGATCTATGGCATAAATGTCAAAATGTTGCATCCTTTTAAGTAGAAAATACTGTCTAAGAATGTTACCTTGGACTAAGATCTGGTGGTCCAAAGCAGTTGAGAGTGGGTATGAGCAGTTTGGCAGGTTTGCATCCTGTACCTCCAGAATCTGTCTGTGTCCTATGGGTGGATTTGGGTGTAGATGAGGGAGGATGGGTTTGTTTCTGTACTTTGGTCTGATGTTTGGGGGAAGGGTTTGGACTCCAGCCCCTGACAGGTGAACGACACTGTCGCAGGGTGTTGAACTGCCGTAACTCTTCCCCCAAAAGATTCCCCAGTGATGTACGTCGTACTGGGCTGCTTATATTGGGCAGAAGAAGATTTCGGCATGTATTGGAAGCAGGTGGGACATGGAAGTACTTGTCTGGATCATCAGCCTTTTCTATAATGGATGGATGCTTATTCTCAGTTGTTGCACTGGAGTCTGGGTAGTTCTGCTGCAAGGAGAAAGAAATGACACCAGGGGATAGGTCAGAGACTGTACAGTATATAGCTGAGACAGACCACTCTTTCATTACAATGAATGAGAAAAATTGGAACGCCCAAGATGGCAGCTGTAGTGAAATAAATCCCATAATTCAAATGAAAGAGTCAGGTCAGTAATGTTTGTATTTCTGTTTAAGTTCTCTGGTTACCATTTCTTTAACGAGTGGAACTTGTGGTTAGCCTACAGATCACTGCATAAATGAAGTCCATCTGTCTTTTTCCAAAAGAGACTTTTTTTGTTTTTCGGAGCTTGAGCCAAACCTTGGGCCCAAGCCAGTCATACAAGCACAGTGGATTAGCTAATTTTGATGTGACAGCTGTGATAGTGATAATGAATGGTTTGGTTTACTATATAAGTAAATATGTGTGTTGAGAGATTGTAGTCTTACCTCAGTCTCACTGCCCTCTCTCAGATTGTATGTGAGGTTTTGGTGGATGTCAGTAGTAAAGATGCTGGCATACTCGGTATATAGTTCAAGAACATCACTTAAACCTTTCATACTGATGTACTGCAGGTCACAATATGTCAGTGCCTTTACATCTGCATTCGTCTTGATCACATGATTCTGGCCAGGCAGGTCTGAGCCAATCAGATCTCCTTTTCCTGTAATGACATCA